AGCAAGCCTTGCTTAACAAGTGGCAGAATGATGGAAAGACGGCTGACGATGTTTTCAAGCTTCTTAAACTGAGCACTGACAAGGGAGACGAGTTGTTGTAGAATCTAGCTTTGAGCACCTGGATGTCGTATGTAACGCTCGAAAAGGGAGATCCGTATAACTTACTGCTACTCAAACTGAAGTCGCGCTATGACGAAGAAGAACTGGCCCACATGCTGGTTGTAACAGAAAGTGTCATCGCCAGGGATGTGGAGATGGCGCTGCTTAAGAGCTGGTTGAGCAAAGGGAAGACGGCTGAAGACGCTTTCAAGCTCCTACGACTAAACTCAGAAAAGGGGTACGACATTCTGACAAATCCAGCTTTGTCCACTTCTTAGAATGCGTAATCAAAACCCCGAGGAGATTCTACTCGTGGAGCTAAAGACTCGATTTAGTGATGAAGCGCTAGCGAAGATGCTTGTCGCGGCAGCGATCGACGTCCGAGTGCAGATTAATGTACATGTACCTGCGTTGATAATGATGCAGCTCAAGAGCTGGCTCAAAGAAGGCAGAGCCGCAGATGACGTATTTAGTCTTCTCAAACTAAACGACAAATTATTTGACACTTCGATGCTGAGCACTTGGAGATCCTACTTGCTAAAGTGCTGGATAAGAAGAACGCGGACGAGCTAATGATCTCGGTCATAAGGAAGTATTACGAAGATGAAATTCTGGAGAAAATGATCGTACGAGCAAAAAAGAACCCAAGCACGAGTCCTGTTGCTTCAAATCTGGAGGGGGAAATGTGGAGAAGTCAAGGAAAATCCCCAGATGACGTTTTCACCTTCTTAAAGCTGGACATGCAAGGCGACGAAATTTTCAAAAACCCAGCTCTGGCGACTTGGATGCAGGGATAAGGGTATTTGACAAACTAGTAATCTAGAGTAATAATATTACTAATGCTATTTGAGTATTAGTGCTATTAATACCGTATAGTGTGGTATTCACTATTAGTATTAGTATTACTCAGGTGAGGCGATACTATAGTACTATGAACAGTACTGTTTTACCAGAAAGCCAGTGAACAAGCAACTGCCCCTCATTGAGCACTCATCGAACCTGTGGCTGTCCTGCGTCGTTTGCCATTTCAGAAAAGAACTGGATACCGCCATTGCGATCGACCAGGATTCGACGGCTGAAGATGCCTTGTGCAGTTCATGGCTGTGTGGAAGGTCCTGAGCTCAAGACAGACCCTTGCACCGTATGCGGAAAGCCCACTCACCACCTGTGTGCAATAGGGGTATTTAATGGAGACACGTCGTCGTTGAATGAAAGGTAATTTGCTCATTGTTGTGTCTTATTTCCACGTCTAGCCCTCTTCTCTGTTGATACGCAGATTTTGCAGTCAACCATGTGTAGAGAAGATTTACCCGACCGCTAAGGACTCTACACCAGCCGTGACGACCTCTTCGACGGTCCCCGCCGCTATATCTTCTTCTGCGTCGAGGAATATCTGGGCTGGATCCGACTCCGATTTCGTGCCGTCTCCTGAAGTCGCCGTGGCATCGGATACTGTGGTTGTGCGTCCAGTGAAGCGTCGGAAGGTTGCGGCGAAAAGGAAAGTGGCCAAGGTGAAGGCCATTAAACCTCCTCTGGATGGTAACCTACGTAGTGTGCTGCCTCCCCCCGGCCTCTCCTGTTTCTGACTTAGGGGTCCCGCTTTCATTGACACACTCAAGGAAGGTTGGTACTACTGATTCTGTCTGGGACCTAATTCATGTATTGGATAAACCCTACAGAAAGCGAAATCCGTGGAAGCCTTCCACCCAAGTGTACCGCAACATTTGTCTGCTGTGCTGTGAGGAGATTAAGGCACGGAAGAATACCACGCCCTACAGCTGGGAGGATGCCTTACGCAGCACGAAGAATACGAGCAACGCCAAGGAGCATATCAAGTCGAGACATGCGGACCATCCTTTATCGATTTTAGAAGAACAGACAACAGCTCAAAAGGCGAAAGACGATGTCATGAGTGCGGAAGATGACACCCGAGTCGTTTTAGACTTGACTTGTGATGGTGAGAATGATGCTACTACTTCTGCGCCTATTACTACTGGTTCGTCTGCGGGGAATGAGTCTTTGGCGAAACGTTTCTTCAAGGCGGATGAGAAGACGCTACACGTGCTGATTTCGAAGTGGCTAATTACGCAAGGAATTCCTTTTCCGGCATGCAGGTCAGGCCCCTTCGAGGAGAGGATGCGTGCGGCAACAGGCAATCCAACATTCCCTATGCTCAGTCGTGACAGGCACGACCGTTTGCTTCAAGGACAGCTCCAACTATTTTGCGATTTTGTCGGAGACCTCCTCACTTCTGAATTCGAAAAGGCGTGTCATCTTCAGTACCTGAATCTGATACATGACATCTGGACTAGCTGTGGAAAAGACAGTATCGTTGGTGCGTCCGTGGCATTTATTGATACATCGTGGAGATTTCGGTTCATCGCAATGCTAGCTACTGTCAAGAACGACGGACACAACGCTCCGCTTGTGGCTAAAGTGATCGAAAGTGGTTTCAAGGCGAAGTACGGCATCGACGTACGTGCAATGACTCGCTTCACCATGTCCGACACGACGCCCTCAGCGCGCAATGTAGCTGACCATATTGACAGCGAGCAAGAAGATTGCTCGATGCATCTGCTGAACCTGTGTATCGGATATGGGATCGGATTGAAGGACAACATACAAACCAACAGTGTGTGGAATGCTGCCTGCCATTCATGGGATAAAGTAGTTACGATAGTTACACCGGGTGGATCTCTGGATAAGGGTGGTGAAGTCATTCAGAAACTACGCAATCTGAACAACCACTTCCGGTCGCCGAAGCAGCGCAACGCGTTGAAGAAAATTCAAGAAGCTCTCTCGTACCCTGAGCTAGACCCCATGACCGACAAAGATGTTAGAGTCGCGTACACGTGCAAGCTGATAAGGCGGTCTGTGGTTAGCCATGCGGCTTTTGAAGCTTATTTCCAGTCGACGAAGGAGTCTACTAGCGTGTGGTCAGCTTTGTCTGCAGACGATGGGGTACTGGCAACCGAGATGAAGCGGTAACGCACTTTATCGCCAACTTGGCATTGGTTGAGGTGCAAAGCGAGAATCTAGTATCTTCATACATGGTAGTATTCCGGAGACTTGCCGAGAAGAAGCTGAAATCGTTCAAGTTTGACACTATGGTTATTGAAGCCCCTCGAGCAAAGGATGGGAACGAGGCAAGTCATCGACGGGTAGTGAGAAAGCTTGACCAGTTCACAGAAGCTGGGAAAGCGTGCCTGCGAAGGACTCTTCTACAACTGCAGTCACGGTTCCCAAAAGTGACAAGGGAGGCTATGGTGTGTATATTACTGGACCCTCGTACTAAGTCCAGCGCCAAGAAAATTGCTGCGGTTGGCAACGTCTCCCGCAAAGAGGAGAAAGCCTTTTACAAAAATGGTCTGGAATTCCTTCGAGACGAGCATCGAAAAGTGTTTGCGCAGATGGCGAAGGTGGGCAAGATGCCATTATCGCAGACTTCATCGCAGAGCAGCCTACTCAGCCAGGACTTGAATTCCCCGCTCTCTTCTCCATCATCGACAGGCTGGGACGACGAAGACGAGCTCTTGCTCGGGGCACCTATTCGTACAAGTAAGACCAGGGAGGAGGTCAAGGAGTCGGAGTTAAATGCAAGAGCGGACAGTATCATGAACGAGTGGCTCGAGATGGAGCCTAAGTGGCTCGAGATTGCACAGCGCCAAAACCCTGAGACCAAGAAGGAAGATCTGTCCTCTGCAATGACAACGGACAGTCGGACGGGTATGCGCTGGTCGCTGCTGGGGTTGTACCAACACGTAGACGTTCTGCAATGGTTTCGCGACAAAAGCGAGAGCCAATACCCTTCAATCGCGCTGCTTGCACGTATTCATCTCGGCAAGATCTCATCGTCGGCATTTCAAGAGCGAGTGTTTTCTACGGGGGGAATAATTATGGGGCCGCTTCGTACCAGAACAGATAGCAGGCGATCGGAGAAGCAGCTACTACTGCGGCACAACAGGAACGAGATTGTGATGATGAAGCAAGACGCGCGCAAGTCGCGTGACGCTTCGAAAGCGGTAGAATAGTACTTTGACTATTAGTACTAATAGTACTAATATTAATACCGTGATGAGATTTCAATACTATTATTAGTATTACCGGGAAAAAAAAGCCTAGCATTACCGGTAATAGTGCTACCGCGTACTATTACATCACGCAACTCAGCAAACATAAAAAGACCCAGATGAGTTCGCAGCTATAGTGGATTTGGAAAAACGTTTGGGCGCTTTAGAACTGGCACGAACGCTTAGTTACAAAAAGTTTCTGTCACAATTGAAAGGAGCTGAGGTTGAGCTAGCTCCCAGCTTGCTGAATTTGCAGTTCAAATATTGGATAGAAGGAAAAGGTCTGGATCCCATACGCCTCAGCGAGCTGCTACTCAATTCGTACGACAAGAGAAACAACGCCGTCGAAGTCAACTTCTTCGACTATCACAAAGCAAACGGGAACGCCATTCTACTAAAGTTGAACGGCATTTTCTAGATTAAACGTAATCGGTTGCACTGTCCTGCAACAAGACAATCTAAGACTTCGGCTGGGAATACATTTTTAACTAGTGTTCATGCAATCACGTTGGGTGGAAGCTCTCCATCAATATGAGACGAATTGATTTCTTGCTGGCCTTGTGTTTGCACACAACCAGTTCGACTACACTCTTTTATTGAGTGATTTTTTCTAGATTCTACACGCCATTATTGAGCCATTTATTACGGACAAGATTGATTATTCGAACCTGTGAGGTCGTGCCAGTTTGTGTAGGGTGATACATGTGTTAATTCAACAGTGCACGTAATTCCGAGTCGACTTCATTGTCTTTCGAGTATGTCCATAATTCCCGAGTAAATTGTCGCCTATTTTAAAGGTTTATGCGCATTTGTAACTTTCAAGCAACGAGGTTACCATTCGGCCGTACAACCGCGCAGGGAGTCCACGAAGCAGGGCCGCGCGTTAATTGCGGAGGCGAGCGCCGAGCTCACCAGCGAGTCGCACATTCCAATATCCAGGACATTCTTTTTACGATTGCGAGCGGGGGCGCCGAAGGGGCTTCCAGTCAGCAAAGCGGGAAGCAACTACATGTATGTCGGATACTGCCTTGGCAATAATGTACTGACAAGATGATGAGCAATCTTACAAACACCAATTTATCTTTTAGTACAGTTAGAACAGTTTTAAATCAGGTTTGAGGGACGTTTTAATCGGCGCCGAGTTTTCACAGGACCAGAGGAAGGTTGAATGAACACAAGTACTTCCCTTTTAAACCTCAAGCACATTTTATCGTAGTAGAGTCTGGTCGAAGATGTTCAACACTGTTGAACATCTCCGTTGATTCAACAGTAAATGATGTATTCATACGACATTTCACTCATCTTCCTTCAAACAATGATCAGTGATGCCTAGGCCAAGGTCCAGTTCCTCTCCAGCATTGTCTGGTGCAGCGTATGTACCCAGCGCTCAGTGTTCTCTCGCATCTCGTGCCAGCCCGAGAGAGGGATCTCGTATTGAGGGTGGTGCACTCTGCTGTGCACCCACCGCGTGACCACCACGACTCTCCCTTCCTTGTCGTTGAATGGGGTCTTTGCTTTACTGGTGCATTGCTGGATCGGGTAAGAAGTGAGCTCTAGGACGGCACTGAAGTCTCGACGAATGCGCTCGTGCGGATGGTAGGGATTTCTATCGTCTTCGTCGATGAAATCGGCAACAAATAGTCCGTATCCGTTCTCGTGCCCTGGTTCGCTCCCTTCTTCTTCAAAGTGTGAAAAGTAGACTGTGCTGGATTCCATTCGCAGCCCACCGATAGTCGTGGTAATGAGACGATTCTGCGTGATATCTGGTGCCAGATTGTCGTCGACTTCGCGAACAGTGATGTTGCCGAGCTTCTCCGATACACAGATTTCGATACTACTGAAGTAGCCGAGAAGAATATCAAACACGTTCTTAACACTGTTTTCGAGCTGATAAGTGGAGAAATATGTGGTATAGTAATCTCCATTCGGCCCTTCGTATCCGTGGTCCTCTCGCATCGACTTGTACGGGTTTATTCGCGGACATCGATCTTTGAGGAAACGAGCACCAAGTTCTAACGCACGATCCTTTGTAGCCGTGAGAGTAACGAGACGTGACTCCGTATCGTTTAGCAAGTGGGTTTCTTGGTGAATTGGGCTTCCCACTCGAGTACTCTGCACAGATAGTAATGGCAAAGTAAACACCTCAAGCTCCACGCTGTTCGGAGAAGTTTCGCACTTACAAATAGCGAGTACACCGACATGAGCGCATGGAATTGTGTCACTTTGAGCTGCTGCTTCTGAATGGCACGTCGCAACACTCTGTTTGCGGTACCAGCTTCGCCCATTGTCTTGCTCGCAGTGGAAGGCTCCATCGCTCGAGAGTTTAGCTTCTCCATTCGAGTATGCAGGTCCGACAGCTCTTTCAGAAGATTCGCGATCTCTTCCTGCGCAGCAAAACAACACAAAATATCATAATTTGGACTCACTATTATAACATCTTATTGCACTGATATACCTTTCGTGTATCGATCGTGGACTTGCGGTGTTTGCGCTTCGCCCGCTTCTTTGGCGCTGCACTAGCGACGTCGGTCTCGCGCTTGTGAAGCGGTTGCCATTTTCCGTTGAGGCACTGTTTCTCGCTGTTAGTATTTACCTTTTCTCCGCTGTTGCCAATATGAAGCTCCTTCCTCACTCGAGGTGCAACCACTGCTGCATGGATCTCGTCGCCCGACGCGTCAGACTCGTTCATGGCCTCCAGCCAGCGCGTCGCAGCGTGGGTCACCGAGCCAGACGTCGGCGACACCGGCTCGGAGCCGGATGTGTCCGACTTGTCGCTGTCTCGTGCCATCATATTCATTGCATATGGGGAGTTAGCGCTTGAGTCTCCAGTTGAGACGGGTGTTCACTTGCCTTTTGCATCAAAAGCGTGAAAGGTTTTGGTGCTTGTACTGACTGGCGGTATATGTCAGTATGGTGGCGGCTGGAGCTGTAATCCGATTATACCATGAGGGATGATGGGTGAATTGCTTCAATCTGCTCCTCCAATCATGAAGGAGCAGTGCATAAAGCTTGTGACAGTGTCACTGACAATTGAGCCGCTCAATGAGCAGGCACACCACAGTCCTCGCGATGGGTAGGTCGCGTCCGCTTAGTTCTCTGGTTGGTGATTTTTAAATAAAAGACTGACAGGTATTGGGTCCTTTGCAGTGAAGCAAGCCTCTCAAGTTAATGAAACAACGCAAGAGCTCGCTGCTTGAAGTGGTGTGCAAGGGAACGCTGTCAATAGTGGATGAAAGATCACTACAGATTTACCCCTCAATAAGCGTAGGAGGTCGTCTGATAATTTTGCGTAGGTCAACCAATGCGATCGAGTGATTTGTTCTTATTCCTCCAACATTTGGGATCTGATATCAAGGGGTATATGAAGTGCAAGAAGAGGCAGGATTGTCGGTAGATGTCGGTAGACGAGGTAATCGGTTATGCGCGCTTCACTGTGATTGGCGGATCCACCTTGCAAATCACTGGCGAGCTTGCTGGTCACTTCAACTTGGACACTCTCAATTCGGTCCCCCAGTCATGCCGGGTCAACTGCCGCAGCCTTGTCTACAGTGGGCGATGATGTCGTTCCATCTCTAGAACCTTCGTCACTCGGTTCTCCTTTACGTAAAAGCCTTTGACCAGCCTCGCCAGTCGAGTCATTCTGCGATTAGCGTCCAAGTCCTCACGTCGCAAGCTCTTTTCTCCTTCTCCCAAGCATGTTCTCCTCCTCCAAAATCACCACGCGCTTGGCATCCGCCATGACCACCCGAAGCTTCACCGTCAGTGCTCCCAAGAACATGAAGGTTGTGTGTGCACTGTACGAGGGCGGTGAGAGTGGCATGAAGAACCCCAACATCTTGGGCTGCGTCGAGAACGAACTGGGTTTACGTAAGTTCCTCGAGGACCGCGGCCACGAGTACATCGTCACGTCCGACAAGGACGGAGACAAATCCGAGTTCGCCAAGCACCTGCATGATGCGGACGTGGTCATCTCGCAGCCATTTTGGCCAGCCTACATTACTCGTGATCGCATCGCTAAGGCTCCTAAGCTCAAGCTCGCAATCACTGCCGGCATCGGCTCGGACCACGTCGACTTGGCAGCCGCATGTGACCGTAACATCACAGTGGCTGAAGTCACCGGCTCCAACGTCGTGAGTGTAGCCGAGCACGTCGTCATGATGATCCTCTCGCTTGTACGCAACTACATGCCCGCCTACAAGCAGGTGATCGACGAAAAATGGGACATCGCAGCCATTGCTAACAACGCTTACGACCTCGAGGACAAACACGTGGGAGTCGTCGCTGCTGGTCGCATCGGCTTGCGCGTACTGCGTCGTCTGCACCCATTCGACGTGAAGCTGCATTACACCGATAAGGTGCGCTTACCGGCTGATGTCGAGAAGAAACTTAACGTGAAGTTTCACTCGACCGTCGAGAGTTTGGTCAAGGAATGCGATGTGGTGTCTATTAACTGCCCACTGCACCCGGAGACCGAGAACCTCTTTGATGCTGAGCTGCTTAGTAAGATGAAGAAGGGCGCGTACATTGTCAACACGGCTCGAGGCAAGATTGTGGACAAGGAAGCTCTTGTTAAGGCAGTGAAGAGTGGCCACATCCAGGGTTACGCTGGCGACGTGTGGTTCCCGCAGCCTGCTCCGGCTGACCACCAGTGGCGCTCGATGCCGCGTCACGCTATGACGCCGCACTACTCGGGAACGACGCTGGACGCGCAGGCTCGCTACGCTGCTGGGACCAAGGAGATACTTGAACGTTTCTTTGATGGCAAGCCACAGCGTCAGGAGTACCTAATTGCGGAGGGTGGCAAGGTCACGAGTGCATCCTACACGCACGGTGACGCCACGTCTGGATCGCTGTAAATGTGGCAATGAGGTCGTAGAGGTTAGTTCTACTGTACGACAACGAGTCAACACTTCATGGATATGTGTAAATTGAAAGTGTGCCGAATGGTAACCTCGTTACTCGAAAGTTACAAATGCACATTAACATTTTTAAATAGGGATACACCCCGTGTTCGCGGGGGTTGACCATAGGATTTGCAAATAAATTAGATTTTAGGCTACGTTCATTTGGATTCAGAATCATCACCCGGAATTTATCAAAGGCCCAAGGGCGCGAGCTCTCGGATTAGTTGTATAAATATCACCCTACACAAACTGGCACGACCTCACTGGTTCGAATAACCAATCTTGTCCGTAATGGCTCAATAAAAGAGTGTAGAATCTAGCTTGGGTAAAAATAATTACTCAATACCGTGTTCTGTGCTTCCGAATGGGTTAGGGCTTTCTGCTTGCTTTAATTTGTGCTTGCAGCTTTGATAATCTGTGCTGTGGTTGTCCAAGTAAATTCTGCCTTCTTTGGCAGCTATTAACTGCGTCATTTTTCAATTACCCGCCAGAAGTACACAACAATGTCGAGCCGCCCTGTGTGCTATCTGCTCTTCTAGGGGGAACAGCATCATGGGCGGACCTCACAAATCACTGCTTGAGCCTAAGTGCTGTCGCTCATGTGCCGCGCGACCGCTGCAAGCTTTCCGGCCTTCCAGGCTGGAATCCAAGCGACCAGTTTGTAGGGCAAGAACTGCCTTTATTTTCCCTAGCACAATTGTTCTCTCGCTATAACACCTCTGGCTGGTGCTCTGAAAAACTGCATCTGGGTCTTTTTATGTTTGTTGAGTTGCGTGATGTAGGACATCCAACTGGGTTTTTGAAAATTTCGTCGCCTTGCATGTCCAGCTTTAAGAAGGTGAAAACGTCATCTGGGGATTTTCCTTGACTTCTCCACATTTCCCCCTCCAGATTTGAAGCAACAGGACTCGTGCTTGGGCTCGTACGATCATTTTCTCCAGAATTTCATCTTCGTAGTACTTCCTTATGACCGAGATCATTAGCTCGTCCGCGTTCTTCTTATCCAGCATCTGCAAGTAGGATCTCCAAGTGCTCAACATCGAAGTGTCAAATAATTTGTCGTTTAGTGTGAGAAGACTAAATACGTCATCTGCGGCTCTGCCTTCTTTGAGCCAGCTCTTGAGCTGCATCATTACCAACGCAGGTACATGTACATTAATCTGCACTCGGACGTCGATCGCTGCCGCGACAAGCATCTTCGCTAGCGCTTCATCACTAAATCGAGTCTTTAGCTCCACGAGTAGAATCTCCTCGGGGTTTTGATTACGCATTCTAAGATACGAACTCCAACTGGATTTGTCAGAATGTCGTCTCCCTTTTCTGAGTTAAGACGTAGGAGCTTGAAAGCGTCTTCAGCCGTCTTCCCTTTGCTCAACCAGCTCTTAAGCAGCGCCATCTCCACATCCCTGGCAATTACACTTTCTGTTACAACCAGCATGTGGGCCAGTTCTTCTTCGTCATAGCGCGACTTCAGTTTGAGTAGCAGTAAGTTATACGGATCTCCCTTTTCGAGCGTTACATACGACATCCAGGTGCTCAAAGCTGGATTCTCCAACAACTCGTCTCCCTTGTCAGTGCTCAGTTTAAGAAGCCATTCTGCCACTTGTTAAGCAAGGCTTGCTCAATGCTCTCAGTGACTTGGAAAGTTCTGTCATCTGTCCTAGCTCTTAGTAGCACGTTGCTTAGACCATATTCTCCATAGTGTTTCACCAACTTCGACAGTAGCAGGCTGTACGGATCCTCCTTGCCGAGTTTGTCTACGTACGTGATCCAGGTCTTCAACAACGGATTTCTGAGAATGCCTTCCATATCGACGTTCAGCTTTAGAAGACCATACACATCGTCCGCCGTTCTCCCCGTAGCGAGCCAATTATCTAGCTGCATTTTTTCAAACACTTCAGCAACTCTCATCGTTTTTGAAACTTGTTGAGCTTCACTAAGAAGCTTGGCCAAAGCCTTATCGCCATAATGAGTAATCATGGACCTGAAGCATCGCTGCTTCACCACTTCCAGGGTTCTTCTTGTATGCTTTGCTCACCGAGTTAGCCCACGTTTGATATGCTGCACTCTCAAATAACACCGAGCTTGTCGTCCCAACTTTGAGGCGTGCAAACAACTTGTCGATAGCCTTCTGGTTATTAGAAGTGAACATTTGCTTGACTCTCGTAGAGATCTTGTCCAGACTTGGCAACTTTATCGAGCGCCGCAACACCTGGGAGCTTAGCGCCAGTCATTCTCACTTCTGAGTTGTCGGAACCTCCATCCTTTGTTGGCCACTGGTGCCTCCTCAAAAGGCGGCCGACTTGAGCATTCGAGACGGGATCCAAAGCTTTACTGTTGCTCCATTTTTCCGTGGTTACGGTTGTGGTGATTACTGAACCAGCAGCTAAGCATACCAGTAAAGTGAGAGCAGACAGCAATGTAAAGCCCTCAAAATGCTTCATGACAGTGAACTTCGCGGGACCTTTGTAAAGGAGGTGGGGTACTTGATAACTTATTGCGAAATGGTGGATTCTGCATGAACGGTTTTAGATTCTGGATCCAAGTTTGCATACTATAATAAAAGTACAGCGTAATTTAAAGGGCCAAGTGGATTAAGTTTAGTATTTTAATACATGTAATACTAAGCAGCCATCCGACTGTATGAATACCGGTAGTAGTACTACTAGTACAGCCGGATGACTGCTTAGTATTATTATAATACTAAATTAACAGAATGTACCGGCCGCATAGACTGAGTACAAAACTTAATGACAAAGTGCGTAGCGTAACTATATGCACTAGCCGAGTGCCGCCGCTACGCGGCGGGAAAGAATGAATGTCGTTCCTTGTGTTTTGCCTCCGTTCCGCTCGCTACGGCTCGCTTCACTGCTCGCATGGTAGGCTGGCAGATTGTGGCTCAGGCGGGCCCATAGGCCCGCAGGGTTGCAGAAGGTGTCGATTTGGGCCGCCTCGCTGCGCTCGGCAGCTTTTAGGCCAGTCGGGGCCACCTTCGCTGCGCTCGGCAGCCAGTAGAAATATTTAAATTATTTTATCCAATGATTTGTCCGGAAAAGCGTGACAGGCACGACAATTTAGTGTGACGGACAGACAGGTTGCTGCAGTAGATGTTTAAGACTAGCCGTTCGCCGCCGCTACGCGGCGGAGTGGAATGGTTTGTTGGAGAAGAGGTGGCCGCAAAATTAGTGCTCTTGGCTTCGCGTGCTTTGTCAGCGTCGTTCACCCCAGTAGGTCTTGGCTTCGTGTACTTAACCACTTACCATTCCGTAGTCTCATGTTGACTTGTATAATATCGTGGTTTGGTACGCTTTCGTTACCCCGTACTACAGGTTGGATGTCATGTTCTTCCATAGCCCGCGCTCTTCCGTGCTCTTCCTGGCTTCGTGGTTCCCTGCTCACCCGTGACCCACGATGCTTAGTGGCTAAGCGCTCTCTCTTTTGGGACCATGCTCTTTAGTACTGTTGCTTTCGTGGCTGTTGGCCTCCCATCGCTGGTACTCTGGCCGAAGAGTGCTATTCCGTGGTTTGCTGCATTCACGAAGTCGTATTGTTCCATCGCCCGTGTATCGTGCTCTCTTGGTGAGGTTCCATCGACCGCGGTATCATGCTATCGTGCAATCGCGATGTTGTTTTGCTGTATACGGTTTTGTGCCCGCGTAGTACATCTGGATTGCACGTATTGTGTTCTACAATGGCATCGTGCTCTACGGTGTGCAATCGTGGTTCCCCCAAGCTCCCCCGTGTATTTCGAGGCTTGTTAGCCATATGTGCAATCGTGCTCTCATGTACTACTGTCCTCCGTGGCTCGGTAAGCTCAGGTTCTACACTGGTATGGTGTGCTGTGGCTCGGTGATCTCCCGTATCTGCTTGGCTTTGCATGGTTTAGTGTTTGGGCCAGCGGTCATGGTAGTGTGCTCTTCGTAGTCTCGTGGCTGGTCTGCCGTCTGTGCAGTCAGGTCGAATGTAGTATCGTCCTCCGTGGCTCGGGAAGCCCATCTTCTACACTGGTATTGCTCTCCGCGGCTCGATGATTTTCCGTCTATAGCTCTGCGGCTGCGTTCTCCCATGGCTTAGTGGCACGGCCCATGCTATCGGGCTAACTTGTGGTGTTGCGGCTGGTCTGTCGTCCGAGAGGTCGTTAGCTACCGTAGTACCGTGCTGTCGAACTCGGTGAGCTCCGGTTCTACCCTGATATCGTGTTCCCATGCTCGATGATTATCTATTTATAATATCCCTCGGCCTCATGTTTGGTCAGTCGACTACGCCCCGTGTTCTACCGTGGTGCTATGGGATAATTGCTGTCCGTGCACTCTTACCACTACGTGCTCTACCGTGGCTTCAAACGTGCGTGCTCTTCCGTAGCCGTGCTTTTCACCATGCTGGGGTGTCTTTATATTAGCTCCCTTCCGTGGCCCGTACGCGCCCGTCACATTCTTGTCCTTCTGTCCTTTTCATGGCTGTGTGCTCTTCCGTCTTTCACGCTACGCATGAAACTTCGTGGTTTGCATCGGCTAAGTCTTCTACCATGGCCTTCCGTGCTTCGTGTTGCTCTTCTATCCCATCGTGTACATCGTGTACATAGTGTGGGTCGGTGCTCCTTCGTGCTTCGTGTTCTTCCTTAGGCACGAGCCTCCGCGCAAACCTAATCACAAACGTTGTTTCCGATTTTGTTTGATGTACGCAACATGTATTGTTGGAAAGTTTGCACAATATCTTATGGTCGCACACTACGCGCGCAAATACAAAGATAAAAATGATACTTTTTCCCAGAGACGGGGTGCAGGGGTGTAAGCCACAATAGTCATATTTTAAAGTTTTCATATTATTAGTAATAGTAATATAATTGTTATTTATTATCAAACGCTGATATATTTATTATGTGTTCTACTACTACAAATAGCTGCAAGAAAAAAAAATGAAATGTCTTGATAATAGTACTACTCAAAACAGAATTGTAAGTTTAAGTATTAGAAAAGTACTACGAAGCCAAAATACATTCTAAATTCAATAAGTACTAAAGTTTCGATTGAGGCCGAAATATAAATCACCAGGGCCTACGATTTTTTTCAACAGCTCCTACGACGATATTGTATGTGTGTGCTTATCAGCGCCTCTTAATTATGCTAACTAACGCGTACACAGGCAGCGCCCTTCGCGTGGCCTTGCATACCGCAGCTGAAAATGAAAGCAAAAAGAAATTTAAACGGTGGTTTTAGGTACGATGTGTAGACCACATATAATGTGTAAGAAACACAATGTTGATTTTAGCCAACGGGGGCCGCCTTCGCTGCGCTCGGCAGCTTTTTAGCGACTCGACGCCGCCTTCGCTGCGCTCGGCAGCCAGTAGAATGCGCGCATTTGCGTTACATTAATTAACCCTAGCCGCGGACGGACGTACGGACGGACAGACAACACACTCCACTAGAGGGGTAAGACTAGCCGTTCGCCGCCGCTACGCGGCGGAGTGGCATGGTTTGTTGGAGATCAGGTGGCCGCAAATCTAAGTGTTTCTTGATGTCGCGACTTTGTGAGCGTCGTTCATCTCAGTAGGTCTTGGCTTCGAGTACTTAACCACTTACCATTCCGTAGTCTCATGTTGACTTGTATAATATCGTGGTTTGGTACGCTCTCGTTACCCCGTACTACAGGCTGGATGTCATGTTCTACAGTGGCCGGCGCTCTTCCGTGATCTTCCTGGCTTCGTGGTTCCCTGCTCACCCGTGACCCACGCTGCTTAGTGATTATCCTGGATTTGTGGACTCATTCTCTCACACTGCTTAATGGTTGTGTGCTAGCTCCTTTGGTCTCATGCGCTCCCGTAGTACGACCCCTCTTCCGTGGCTGCTAGATATTCCGTGCTTTCAAGGGTTTACGTGGATTCCACAGGCTTCGTGTCCATAATCATTCATGGTCGCGTTCCATTTCTGGCACCCTCGCCAATGGGTGATCTCCCAAAGTTTTCTGTCACCTGTGTGCTGCGCACCCCTGTGGTGGCTCCATCTACCGCGTTATCGCGCTATCGTGCAATCGCAATGTGGTTATGCTGTCTATGCTATCGTGATCGCATAGTATAAATGTTTTGCCAATGTTATCGCGTTCTACGATGGTTCCGTGTCCGCGGTGTGCAATCGTGGTCTCCCGAAGCGTTTCCCCGCGATTTTATGGCTGGTCGACCGTCCGGGTAAACGTGTTTTAATGAAGTATCGTCCTCAGTGGCCCGGCGATCTCAGGTTCTACAGTGCTATCGTGCTCAGTGGCTCGGTGATTTCCCGTGGCTGCTTGTTCTCCCATGTTTTAGTGGTTGTCCCACTGTCCATGCTATCGCTTGGTGTCGCGGTTGGTCTGTCGTCCAAGCTTTCGCTATCTACAGTAGTATCGCACTCCCCAGTGAGCTCCGGCTCTACCCTGGTATCGTGTTTCAATACTCGACAACCTCCCGTTAATGGTCTTTTGGGGCTTCGTGTTTGGTCCGTCGACCGTACTCCGTGCTCTACCGTGGTGTTATGGGAGAATTGCTGTTCGTGCACTCTTACCGTTACGTGTTCTACCGTGGCTTCGAGCGTGCGTGCTTTTCCGTAGCCGTGCTTTTCAGCATGCCGGGGTGTCTATATATATAGTTCCCTTCTGTGGCCCGTACGCTCCCGTCATATTCTTGTCCTTCTGTCCTCATCATGGCTGTGTGCTCTTCCGTCCTTCACGCTACTTATAAAACTTCGTGGTTTGCATCGGCTAAGACTTCTATCATCGTCCATGGCCTTCCGTGCTTCGTGTTGCTCTTCTATCCCATCATCTACATAGTGTGGGTCGGTGTTCTTTCGTGTTTCGTGTCCTTGCTGAGTCACGTGCCTCTGCGCTAGCTGAATCACAAACGCTGTTCCCATTTTGTTTGATGTACACAACGTATATTGTTGGAAAGCTCACACAATATCTTATGGTCGCACACTACGCGCGCAAATACAAAGAAGATGATACTGTTTGCCGGGGGTAGTGCTGGGTGCAAGGCACAATAATCTTTTTTTTAAGTATTCACATTTTTATTAATAGTAATAAAAAATGATTTATTATCGAACGCTGATTTAATAATTATGTGTACTACTACTACTTATACTGCAAAAAAATATAACAGATAAATATTTAGAATAGTACTACTCAAAACTGTTTTGTAAGTTTTATTATTAGAAAAGTACTACGAGGCCTAAAATATCATTCTAAAACCAATAAGTACTAAAGTTTGGCTTGAAGGCGAAATATAAGTCTCGAAAGGCTACATTTTTTTCAACATTTCCTACGACGATATAGTACGTGTGTGCACATCGGCGCCTCTTAATTATGCTAACTAACGCGTACACAGGCAGCGCCCTTCGCGTGAGGTGGCGGTCCACAGTTGAAAATGGGGCAAAATGAAATTTGAACGGTGCATTTAAGTACGATGTGTTGACCACAT